CGACATGCTACCTGCTCGACGGTCTCTGCATCCACCAGCCTTGACACATGCATATTGGTGCCTGCACTGACCTGGTAGGGAGTAGACATAACCAGGATATGCATCTGAACCAAGGAGATGGGACACCATCTCTAGGTCCCATAGATTAGACGTAGCCAGAGTCTACCTTTGAGGAGCAGGAGATCTAATATTATGTTTATATCTGCTGTCTGTCGTATGACAGTTCCTTCAGAGCCTGCTATTCAATGAACTCGATTTCATAGATTATCTTCTAGAATCTATTTAACCTGAAATAGAATTCTGCCCTGGTGAGGCCACATCTGGAATATTGTGTCCAGTTCTGGGCCCCTCAGTGCAAGAAGGACAAGGAACTGCTGGAGAGAGTCCAGTGCAGGGCCACAAAGATGGTGGAGGGAGTGGAACATCTCCCTTCTGAGGAAAGGCTGAGGGAGCTGGGTCTCTTTAGCTTGGAGAAGAGGAGACTGAGGGGGGACCTCATTAATGATTATAAATATGGAAAGGGTGACTGCCATGAGGATGGAGCCAGGCTCTTCTCAGTGGCACCCAATGATAGGACAAGGGGAAATGGATATAAGCTGGAACATAGGAGGTTCCGCTTAAACATGAGGAAGAACTTCTTCCCGGTAAGGGTACCAGAACACTGGAACAGGCTGCCCAGAGAGGTTGTGGAGTCTCCTTCTCTGGAGATGTTCCAAACCTGCCTGGACGTGTTCTTGTGTGATCTGCTGTAGGTGGTCCTGCTCTGGCAGGGGGATTGGACTAGATGATCCTTTGAGGTCCCTTCCAATCCCTGACATTCTGGGGATTCTGTAATTCTGTGAAATGTAGTTAAACAAAAGCTAAATGAAAGTGAATGACTATAAACAGTAGATTCTGAAAAACTTTATGACAGACACTTGGGAAATGCCCTTTAGTCGCTGGAAGGTATTTTCCAAGGTCTCCTTGGGATGTTCTGTGCCTGTGTCAGCTGATGAAAATACTGTCTATATTTCTGTGGCCACAGGTGATTAGGAATTGCTCCCACAGTGTAATTTAAACCTACTAGGCTTCTCCCCGGACACAGTCAAGTGGGTGGAGAGAAACCCTTGCACGTTTGATTTTATATGACCGGACAAGATCTGCTTCATTTGTGCTTTGTCAGGGCTACAAAACCTGGGTCCGTACAGAAGGTGTAAGTTATGCTCACACTGCGTGTCTGGGTTCAACTGGGCCGGTTCCTGAATTGCAGGAGGCAGCAGTCGCTCCGTTACACTGAGCTCGGGGCAGCCACAGACTTTTTCGGGACAACGAACAGGAGCCTCCAAACGATGCAAATGGCCTAGAGTCCAGCAGTGTTAAAAGGTTCATTTAAATGTTTCTCACAACACTGCCACTATCTTTCGGCCACAATTAATGTCAGATTAACGTTTCCATTTGTTTTGGGATCAGCTATTGCTTGGCTTACCTTGCCGCAGAACATACTGAGGCCTCATTCATTCACGTTATAACTTCTGTATTACCAGCCAGTTGGAAAATGATGACAGATTTGCATCCTGTTCTGCTCCGTTTAGGACCTGATGTTCACTGACTTGCAATAACCATATATTTGCATAGTGCCTTTAACTTCAAAATATTTTTGTTTTACCTGGCTTATGGGTGGTCATTTCTATCAGCCTTCAAGTGCAGTGACTTCAGGGTTGGAATGTGGCAGCTGGTTACCAGCACTCACTATATAATTCCATATTGGGTGAATATCTTATCCATATGGAACTGCAAAAAAGAATTTAAGCAGGCAGGTATTTGATTCGGAAACCAGGCTAACCTCCCTGAGCCTCGCTCTTGCTACCAGATATTCAACATCCATAAACAAACAAGCCCCGAGTTCACCTCTCTTTTGTCTTCTCTCCAGCATCGTGCCAGAGCTGCGACGGACCCTCGGAGGCTCCCGCTGAGCCCCTCAGCGACCACTTCTGAGGATCTGAGCCTCTGAGGTGCTGCTGAGCCACTTTGTCCCGAATCGAGCGTGTCCCCACACAATGGGGGTACAGCTGTCTGCCTCCCAGAGTTAATGAGCGTACAGGGTAGGCCTTCAATTACCTTTTTTTCAAGACATATTCCTCAAAAAGCCTTACAGAAAAAGGAGGTATTCCACTCCTCGTTTTATCCAGGAGGAGGCTGCAGGCTAAAAATGCCAAGAAATGAAGGAACTTGTTGAAGATTACAAAGCAGATAATTGGCAGAGTTCAGAATCAAGCTGAGCTCCCCACCCCCACATCCCTCCACCACTTTGCACATCTAAGGAGGCACGACTTAAAATCCATGACTTTTTAACTTTCATGGTAAAGCAGCAGCTCTGCCACGGCTTTCTGTTTGACTTTCTTTGGCTTTGCATCAAACCAAACTGGCTGAGCTCTTATTTTATACTTCCACCACCCTAAGGAGGTTCTTTTATGTGTGGGCGCCACAGAAATTAAGTTTTAAGCTAGAGTTTAGCAGGATCAACTTTTTGGATACAAAACTCCCAGAAAGTCAAGAAGACTCAAACCTAGGTCTTGTGAAAAAAAAATAAAAAAACCCTAACAGGGTGGGGAGGGGAGAAATCCAGCGGTCACTTCTCTCCTATCACTATATGGTCCCAGTCCAATAGGAACTGTTGGCTTCAACCAGGCTGCCAGAGGTCCAGAGTACTGGGACAAAAGGCCAAAAATCATCTTTTTTCCATCCAGACAAAATTTTAGGTGGAAAAAGAAGGATATATCCAGGGACGCTCAGATGAATTGGGCCCTAACAATGCCAACTTTTCCACTCCCAAAGTTGTTTACACTCGCAAAATTAATTGTGGTGCCAAACGGCAAGGAGAGTTGCGACTCCCTTAGATGTGTGGTCTTTATCGGGAAGGCCAGATGAAATCATTTGGAATTATTAGACACCTTAACAATGCCTGGGGGTGTCATATACAGATAGCTGACACCTTTAAGCACTGATGCAATAAGGATGGACGAGAACATGAGGTGAGAGTGGTGGGAGGAAAGGTCTTTTTTAGATGTATCCAAGGTAGAATAAGTTTTATTACTGTGCTAGAAACATACAGTATCCCAGGAGTGAATAGCTCACACATTTGATCCGATCTTGGGCTCAGTCCAGCTCCCACTGAGGTTTAATGGGAGTTGGATCAGGCCGTTGCACTCACATTTTTTCCATGCATGGAAAACTATTTCCGTTACTTTGAATTACAATACCACTGGCTTTGGATTTTATATAATAAAATAAATCTAGGCCACTGTTTATATTCCAAGAAACTGCATTCTGGGATGCCAGCAAATATATTGCCTGTTGGATTAAAAAAAATAAAATAAAAACTGGACACATCGGTTTAAAAAAACAACAGCTCCTAATTATTAAACATAATTTTTCTTCCTTGCGCTTTTCTGCAGTCCTCAAATATTCGAAGTATGAGAGGTACATATAAATTCTTCTCTGGTGGTTGAAATGGTGGAATCTGTAAAACTGCAATGCTTTATAAGAAACAGAGGTTTAATATAAAAATAATAATCTTCGCGACCGGTTCTTTGCTTATTGGAATATTTTGTGCATTTTAAAATTTACAGGAAAAAGAAAACACAACATTCTTGGAATGCTGGTAACAAAGAAGATGTATATTAGCAAACCCTTGTATTTTGGGGACTGGCTTCTCTTGATTGTTCTGACTGGAAATGAACTCTGCAGATGCTGAGAGGCACAGGAAACATCTTGTGCTAGAAAGAGCATTTGTTCCCCGCTTTATGAATCGGATTCTACTGAAATTCCAACATGGTAAGACCGATTAGTAGACTTTGGTAATGCCTTCTGCCCTAGTACGATTTTATTATACTCTTTTATTACCAATGGAAAACACAGAAAACACTTCCCTCGGTGAACATCCACCCACGTTCTGGGAGCAAACGTGGTTAGCTTATGCCAGGGAAGGGCACGGCCCCTGGACTCTCAAACACAGAGCAGCAAAATAGAAGACACCCCACCGAAAGAATAAACCGAAACCACACGTACACCCAAGCAACAGAGGGAAAGAAATCTTCTGGAGGGGTGTTTAATGTTAAAGACAAGCTATACATCTGGGATGGTGGTGAGGAGGGTTTAATAGAGGCGACCACCTGTACCCGCTTCAAAGAGGAAAACTGGCAGCAGCGTGAGGAGTGCTCGTGCCGTCACGGGCACGTGTGTGCTGGCAACACTTCTTTCTACGGACAGAACATGAAGTGTGTTGCCTCTGCAAACATCCCTGGGCACTGGCAGCTTCTCCTCCACATTGACAAATGAAGTTTCAGCATGGGATTAAAAGGAAAGGGGGAAAAAAAGTCTCCCTCATGCACGTAGCCACGTAGTCTGAGCTGGACAGCCTTCCCCTTGGCCTAGGTGGTACGGAAGAGCTAGGTGCTGACTTCATGGGCACTCCCAGGCCGTGCACTGGTCAGCCACAGGTCACACCTTCCTTCCTCACCACAGCAGGTTGTAAACCTTCCTCCACCACATTGTGGTCAGTGCAGCATCCAGGAACGGTTCACACCACTCAGAATTTGAAGCCGTACTCTTGTAGAGAAGCCTTGGCTAACCTTGCCTCTAAAGTGACAAAGCCCTTCAGAGCGACCAAGAATTGGTTCCAAAGGGTTTAGTGGGGTGGAAAGGTTGGAAACTCAAGATAACCAGGACACACTCACATCTGGCTGTAATGTCAGATGTGGAATAGCTATGCAAAATTCTGAGATTTACTGGTGAGAGAGCAGAGGGAAGCCACTCTCCTCCTTCGCCGGCTTTGGCTTCTGTCACGAAATAATATGTGCTTGTGCACAGGGGGGAGTTCACTTTGTCAGCACCTCCTCAGCCTGCCCACCCTGACTCACACATCCGAGGGGAGATGCGCCCAAAGACCAACTCCCCGGCAGAACTGAAGGAATGGTAAACCAGCCGGCCTGACGGGGGAAATTTCAAAACGAAAATGTCTCTTAAATAAGCTTCTTTAATTATTATCATCATCTGTTTATTTATACAAATATAAAATATATTTATATAGATTTATATAATATAGATTTGTTGCTTTGGTGGCTCTTTTCATTTACAGACGTACTGGTCGACGATCTCTGTGCACTTTTTACACTTGACGTAACAGCACCAATGGAACTTGCAGTGGCAACGCTCCACCTGGACGCTCTTGAACTGGTCGTAACCCCGTCCGCAGCACATCAGCTCGCACCCATCCATGCCCTCCGAGGTCTTGTTGCACAGTCGGCCCTGGGTGCCCAGGGAGCCAGTGGTCTCGTTGCGCAGGCAATAGTCCGGGCTGGGGTCGACGTAGACCAGGTCCTCTTGCGTTGGCATGTTGAAACGGTTGTTGACCAGCTCCAGCTTGCCCTTGCGGCTGGTCCTCATGGCCGGGGCGGCGTCGGTGG